GTAATTATATTATGTACTAGCTGTTCCCGCGACTTCGTCCGCGTGGAATTTAACTTTCTAAAATAAAACTAGCCTAAGTTACTCCTTATTGCATCAGCTATCTGCCAAAAAAAGTCCCGTCAAAATCCGTCCAGCCATTTCAGAGATTAACCACTGGACGGATCAGGCTGAAATTTGCCATGCAAGTAGATGTTATGACGTAGGCATCCGCTAAGAAAGGATTTTAATTAATTCTACCCCCAAGGGGATAAAATAGGGGATGAAAGTTTGTATGTAACTTTGTCAACTTTATACTGATGGGACTGAGACTTTGCATACATAAAGCTACTATTACGTAGGCATCCCCTAAGAAAGGATTTGATAAGTTCCACCCCTAAGGGGATAAAAGTACTGTAAAGCCGCAAAAACCATACCTAATAATAATACTTCTTAACGCAAGCGAAGCCGCGAACAAAAGCTAGTTAGTAATAAAGACTGGAAACCTCATTACTAACAATCTATCTGGTTAAGTCGACATCCACGCGGTCCCTTTGGAAACCATCATGGTTCACTGGTGAATCGGTCACGATGGGGTTAAACGACCTAACCTCAGACTCATCTTATCACCCTGCTGTATAATAGATTTTTTTTTTATACCACGTAGGTGGCAAACAAGCATACGGCCTATCTGATGGTAAATGGTTACCGTAGCCTATGGACGCCTGAAACACCAGGGGTGTCACATGCGCGTTGCCGACCCTTAAGAAACCTTAATAGAATAGAAAATAATTTATTCAAATAAACTTACATTGAAGCACTTTTGAATAGTCATCACATTTTCTTCAATCTACCGCTCATTCGCAAAACTGTCTCACTACAAGAAGAATGAGCAAGAAAGTTGCGTGTTGCTCTTATAAATAATTTTGTTGATTTTTAGTTTAGTTGAGTTAATCATCCAATAAAAAACTTGACTCACTTCTCCCTGTGGTGTCATATTTTTACTATCATTACATAGTATAAAACAAAGTCGCTGTCGCTGTCTGTCTATCCCTATGTATGCTTAAATCTTTAAAACTACGCTACGGATTTGGAAGCGGTTTTTTTTATAGACAGAGTGCTTCAAGAGGAATGTTTATATATAGAATACATTGACGACCTCGGTGGTCCAGCGGTCGGGCACACCGCTTTACGTCTGATGGTCGCGGGTTTGATTCCTCGCACGGCACAACCATTTAATTCATGAGTATGATTGTTTGTATCGGTCTGGGTGTTTTCTATGTATAACATGTATTTACGAAAAAAAATGTCTATGTATTTGTATCAGTTGTCTAGTACCCATAACACAAGCTTTAGCTAGCTTAACTCGGGTCTAGATCACGCTGTGTGAATTGTCCTGAGATTATAATTATACATGAATACCGGTGCGAAGCCGGGACGACTAGCTAGTTGAACAATAAAAACGTTACAACCTACATTCGAGTAATTTGTACATTTCTAAATTCCTCTTACTTTTTAGTGTATATTTTCCAAGAACGTTATCAGTAGCGAGGTAACAATGACTACTGCACCTTTGTTATCGCTGACCAGAGAAGCGCCGCCGCCCCATACGTCTTGACGGGAACAATGGAGTGGTTGGACTTTAGAAAGATTATCATACAGCTCTATTGGTGAATAATAGCAAATGTTATGAGTATAGGCAAGTTAATCCTCTACTCGGTCGTGACAAAGACTTTGTTTAGAGTACTGCGAAATGCAATTACGCCGTGGGAACTCTGTTTTCAGTCTAATACTGTAATTATATTAGCATTAGTAAATTGAGACCAGTATTGATATAACAATTTATTTTATTTTACTTTTTAAAATTGCAAATCAGCTGATTGCATAGTGATCTTTTGTGAATAGAATAAACAAATTCAAAAGTGCTTAAAACAAATAAACTTAATTTAAGCACTTTTGAATAGTCATAACAATTTATTCATCTACCGCTGGTTCGGAAAGCTGTCTCATCACAAGAAGAACGAGCGAGAAACTTGTGTGTTGCTCTTTTAAATAATCCTTGTAAGTTTACAATTACAAGTCTAAACGTGTGAATACAAACTACCAACCAGCACTAATTTGGTTGTGTTTTGGAGAGTAGATTATTTTTATTTTATTTTTTTAAATTGCAAATTAGCTGATTGCATAGTGCTGATTTTTTTTGTGTGTGAAAGTAGATAGTTTTAGTCATCTGTCATACTCGTGAACGGGTGCTGTTTGTTTGGTCTGTTCTTGTTGTGAACACTGACTAGACTATTTGCTTTTTGCAGTAGTTGTTCCGGCTAATGAAATGGCTAGACCGATTTTGACGGAACTTTTATTGGTAGGTAGCTGATGTAATAAGGAGTAACTTAGGCTACTTTTATTTTAGAAAAATAAAGTTAAATTCCACGCGGATGAAGTCGCGTGTACATCTTGTATATTATATAAATCTGCTGTTTGGGTTGCGAACACTAATTAGATTATTTGCTTTTGCAATAGCATATGCTAGTGGTCACTCTATTCTCTCAAATTTGAATTTAAATGTATCTGTATTATTGTAAACATGTACAACATTTATATGAAAAGAATACGAGCTGAGTTTCCTGTCAGTTCTTCTCATCTGGAAATCACTCCGATCTGACGGTAAATTTGACATATCATAAGAGTCTGTAATAGACCTACATGAATAAAGATATTTTGAATTTGATTTGAATTGAATATTAAAAATTACACGTCCAAAGACTTTAGGGTACATCGTTTAGGTTTAAATTTCTATATGTCAAAATTGAAAATGCGAAATTACATAAAATATATATAAAATTCTCGTGTCACAATGTTAGTTACCATACTCCTCAGAAATGATTTGACCGATTTCTAATAAATGTTATATTCTTATATACTATACGCGAAGCAATAGTAATTTTATTATATAAAACGAAAGCAATAATAAAACAAATTAAAGAATCACCAAGAAAATATATAAATGATAGACTATAAAAAAACATCACGCAGAATTTTCTGAATTTTCAGAGCCGAAAATTCGTTTACCTACACGCTCGTTGGTTCAACAAGAAATTTTCGCCAATTCCATAAACCTTTTGGTAACAATTCATATTTTTGACATTCCGGTGTTCGAAACATTAAAAAAAAATGAATTCGGTAGACAACAATGCGGATGTTGGATACAAATGTATCTAAATATATATAACTCAAAGGTGACTGACTGACATAGTGATCTATCAACACACAGCCCACACCACTGGACGGATCGGGCTGAAATTTGGCATGCAGGTAGATGCTATGACGTAGGCCTCCGCTAATAAAGGATTTTGATTATTCCTACCCCCAAGGGGATAAAATAGGGGATGAAAGTTTGTATGAAACTTTGTCAACTTTAAACCGATCGGGCTGAGACTTTGCATGCATAAAGCTACTATGACGTAGGCATCCCTAGAAAGGATTTTGATAAATTCCACCCTAAGGGGATAAAATAACGTAATAACTGATTTCCTCTTATTAAATGTTTTACCAGTTGATTGTATATTCAATATTTAGGTATTCTATTTGAGTATTTAATTGAATTACTCCTAATTGGTAGTTTGTATTCACACACTTAAACTTAAAAATGTAAAGTAACAATAAAATTATATAAAAGAGCAACACGCAAGTTTCTTCCTCGTTCTTCTTGTGATGACACAGCTTTCCGAACGAGCGGTCGATAAAAAAAAATGTGATGACTATTCAAAAGTGCTTCAATGTAAGTTTATTTGAATAAATGATTTTCTAATCTATTATTTTATTGGTAACCACAAATTTCTCTATCCACTATATAAGTTCCTTACTGACATATATTTGTTACTAGCCATGTTTTACTTAAAGGAAATATTAATTACAAATGTAACCGAGTAATCGCTAACGTGGGTATCTACGTGCCCTCTGGTAGATCATCTCGGTGTACGCAAGCCAATATAATGACCAGCATCAATTAAGGTCCGGATTGATATAGAGCAATTCGTGGGTTACCAATTAATTGTCTGGCGTGATAGGTGGAGCGACGGGGCGGCGGGGGCGACGGGGGCGACGGGGGCGACGGGGGCGACGGGGGCGAGTACCCCACGATTGATTACGACGCCGCGCCGCGTGACCATAAACAAAAACGTAGCACTAATTCCATTAACCGAAAACTAACCCCGCTATAAATATCCACGCTGCGCGGTGCCCATTTGTGATAAGGCGGCCCGACCCGCCCGCGAGGCCGCGCCGCCCCCAGCGTCTTCATTTATGACTGAATAACAATCTGGCGGCCCACCTGATGGAATGGGGTGACTATCACTTATATTCAGAAACAGCCATGTGGATATCTTCATGCCTTGAATTCATTTGAAGACACAACTGTGACATGGCTTTGTACTCAATAATTTTACTATTTGCATATGTTACACCCTTCAATTAAATATAGACACCTATATAAATATACATAGTAAATAAACTGGCTTAAAAAAAAGTAATTCAATTGAGTTTCTTGCCAGTTCTTCTCAATTGGATCTACATATATACCTACATATATAAAAAATTAAATAATAATGTAAAAAACTTGACGTTCATAAGCGGCTAAAATGTCCTACATGAATAAATGATTTTTGAATTTTAATTTGAATTAGTATAGGTATGCATACGACTTTGTTCAAAGTCAATTTTCATCAGAGTTACAAATAGTCTTACTAATATAATAAACGCTAAAGTTGAATGGATGTTTGTTACGTTTTCACGCAAAAACTACTAAATGGATTTTAACAAAAACTTCCAGTAATATACGTTATACATATATAACATATAGGTTATAAATTTCACTCGAGTGAAGCCGCGGGCAGAGCTAGTTTATGAAAAGCGCATCACCGTGTGTGTGAACGATTTCCCAAAGGGGCGGAGGCTCCGGCCCCGCCCTGGGGCGGCGGCGGCGGCTCCCCACGAGGCGGCCACCGCTCCGCCAGTGCACCCGCGCGCTCTGCTCCATTCGCACGCTCCGATAGCGTATCTGATCTTATGATCTCAACTGATAATCGATAACGATCCACCGCGATTCTCTAGTGCTGTGTTTGTGATAAAACTGATCTCTGTTCTTGCCTATCGTGATAACTGCTTGCATACGTTACGACGGAATCCAGTGAGTTTGAGTCTGCATCATTACTTGTAAGTATTTTTTTTTCTTATGATCCACTGTAGATAGGTACTTGATATCACATCTACAAGAAAATGATAACCGTTACATTACTCGTATGAATAACAGTAATATGTATGGAGATGATGATGATGATGCTGATGATGATGATGCACAAAGCCACTATTATAAGCTGTGAAGCGTGTTGCTCTACCTCTTGCAGCAGTTCTAAATAGCCATCGCAGGTATCTGTTTCTTCGCAGTTATCTTTGATTGTTTTCATCTTTTATTTTTTTACAGTGTTAACTGTCGGTCTGTCTGTAAAGAGAGAGATATTCTATATTATTCTTTACGTAGCAATATGATTACATAGTTTAAAACAAAGTCTTTGTCGCTGTCTGTCCGTCATATATGTCCGTATGTACCTACCCTTAAATCTTTAAAACTACGCAACGGATTTTGAAGCAGTTTTTTAATAGATAGCGTGATTCAAGAGGAAGGTTTATATATATATAATACATGTACACCCGTGCGAAACCGGGGCGAGTACTTGTAATACACCGGAGAATCCGTCAAAAATGTAAATTAAAACTCAAGTAGGTACATTGGTCTCGGTCAGATTTGAACTAACGACCTTTTGGTTGGAAACCACTAGACAACGAGCGTCTTCTACTCCTAATTTAAGTCTCACTAGCTGTTCCGCATTCCGCGACACGTCCGCGTGAAATATTATTTTATTTTTCTAAAATAAAAGTAAGTTAGTCACTCATTACATCAGCTACCTGCCAAAAAAAGTCCCGTCAAAATCGGTACAGCCATTTCCGAGATTAGTCGGAACAAACAGACCGACAAAAATTGTAAAAAATGCTATTTTGGTGTATGTACCGTAATTATATTCATATGCATGTAGTAAAAAACGGTTATTTTAATATTACAAACAGACACTCCAATTTTATTTATATGTATAGTAGTAGTATATGAATTGAGTGTTTAATCTATTTAAAACAAATTGGCCTACATGCGGTTGCGGTTAACATTTTGAGAGTGTTTTTTTTAAGACTATTCGTGTAGGTCATTTAAACAAGACGTTGATTGAAGAGATATTATATCTCGCGTTACTATGGTATGGCAGATCACATGATCTTATCTGTAACATTTTCATCCCTGCACCGAGTTTTAGAGGAAATATAGACTTAACTATTACTGAAGTTCTCTGTCGTCGAGCGGTTTAACACACCTCTTTACTTCCGATGGTCGCGGGTTCGATTCCTCGCACGGCACAAACATTTGTATTCATGAGTATGATTGTTTGTATCGGTCTGGGTGTTTTCTATGTATAATATGTATGTATTTACAAAAAATTCTATTTTTTTTATTTATTACTCTTTATTGCACCATAATAACAAAAAAAACATATATACAAACGAAAACAATATTTAGATTATGGGTACAAAAGGCGGTCTTATCGCTTATGCGATCTCTTCCAGACAACCTTTGGGTAGAGGAGAAAAGACAGAAGGTGGTGGATGGCGCATGATGGAGTTCTATGTATATGTATCAGTTGTCTAGTACCCATAACACAAGCTTTAGCTAGCTTAACTTGTGTCTAGATGGCGCTGTGTGAATTGTCCTGAGATTATTAATATATTATTATATAACATTATTAAATTTAAAATTATTATTACAATACATTATTATCACATTATTTTATTTAAAATGATTAATACAATCCCTTATTATCTTTGTAACATTTATTTAGTAATTCTTTAAATAATTTACTTTTAAATTGTTCATTGTTCAAATTTCTATAATTGTCTGGAAGATGATTGAAAATTTTATGGCCATACAATATACATTATTTGAAAAAGTGCCAATCTTTGTTTAGGGACATATAGCTTGTATTTATGTCTACTTCTACTTTCTGTCGTTGTTACTAGGGTTCATTCCCGGGAATTCTCGGGTCGAGAATTCCCGGGAAATCGTTGGGTTTTGTTCCCGGGAAATCAAGCTCGAGAAAAGTCGAGAACTCGAGAAATCAAGTACCTATATAGAAATTATATTGCCGTTTGTTGTATTGCGTGGCGGCGCAATAATTCAAGATATTAAGGTTTTCTTTTATGTATTTGTTTTTGTTTTACAGAAAATATTTTTGTTTACAAGTTTAAGGTAGATTTTTTCTAAATAACCAGCCAATGACATTTTGTCATTAATAATATTATGTCCTAACATATGAAAGTGGTGTTTTGGAAGGGAGTAACCTGAAGTATTTTTTTTTTCAAAATATAACATGTTTATTTAATCAAACTATGTACTATTGCTATTTATACACTTTTGCCATCTCATAGGTACTTCATTGATCCCTTTACTGAAAAAAACATTTGAACGGGAACATTTGGACATATCAATAAAATCTTTGGACTTTGGACTGCCCCATCGGATTTGAATTTTGTCCCAATCAGTTATCCAAATTTCGAAAAAAATGGTAATCTGTTGGAGCAAGGTCCGGGGAGCAATTGTAAAGTCTTAGACATTACAATTGAATCTCTTCTAATTTGTTAAATGTCAGTGTGCAGTGTGCAGTGTGTGGTCTAGCGTTGTCCTGAAGCAGTATGGTTTCTCAATTGCTGACAAAACACATCTGCCGTAATCATCTGGCCAGATTTAAGAAAGCTGAAGTGAACAACACCGGAACTAGTCCACTAAACGCTCGCAAGTAACTTTTTTTGGGTCAATTTTCGCCTGGGGCAGGATTTGGTTGGTTTGCCAGGGTTCAGCCATTGCGATGAGCGTTTCCAATTATCATACAAGATCCACATCATCACAGGTAATGATTCGACTTAAAATCCCTTTATTTTTATGCCGGTTGACTAATGTAATGCAGCAGTCTACGCGCGTTTGTCGATCGAAACGCGAATTGTCAACTCAATTCATGAGGGACCCACCTTTCAAGCTTTTTCACCCTCCCAATTTGCTACAAGTGGATTAATACAGTTTTGTCACTAACACCGCAACCTGCAACTAACTCGGACGTGGTTTGCGATGGATCTGCTATCACAATAGCCTTCAATTCTTCATTACCAACCTTGGGCTCCAGCCGCCCACGGGAATTGCTTTGCCGGTTCGAAATTTCCAGAACGAAAACGTTGCAACCAAAAATCCATTGTGTTTTCTTTTGCAACACCACCACCATACACATCATTAATCCTTCGAGCCGTTTCTGCAGCACTACTGCCATAGCGGAACTCGTACTCGTACTTGTAAATGACGCGATATTTTAAGTATTTTAAGTTTTTCATTTTGTAAGCTGAGTGACCCAAAGAAAAAACCAAGCATATGTACTACGGTTTTCGAAAAACAAATGCATGAGTGAATAGCCGTATAAATTTGAAATTGGAATTTCTAACCAAAGAGGAGTTATTTAAGATCAAAGTGGCCAATACGACAAAACGCTAATTTCATATGTAAGAACCTAATATATTGCAGTATTTAAATAAAATTTTTCTTATTCATAATATGTATAATGTTTTTAAATATACCTACTCAATAAAAGTTTTATAATTTATTGTATAGTTAAATTTTATATTTAATATTTAACAAAAAATGCAGTGTGCAATATTTAACAAAATCTCAGATGAAACCACTGAGTTTTTTGACGTTATTGGAACCAAATAATATGAGAAAACGTACGTAAATGTAAATTTCTCGACAACCCGAGAAGACCCGAGAAATTAACCTCGAGAATTCTCGAGACCCGAGAAATTGAAAAGCTCGAGAAATCATGAACCCTAGTTGTTACCCAATATACGCTTTCAATCCGTCTGGCAAGATGATAGAACCAATAAAACTGTCTGGCAATTTAGGAAACACGGTTTAATAGTTCTCTGAATAATATATATAAATTTCGGCTTTATTCAAATAACGTAAGTTTTTCATAAAATAATACAGTTTAGAGGGTCCGGCGGGGGGTTGGAACCGTACTAAGTGTCTGGCAATGAGCAGCGCAAGTTATAATACTGCTACGAACAATATATGAAAACATGGAGTTTCTTAAAATAACGAATTTGATATGAAAATTTTTACACCTTTATTACCTGTTACCTGCTAAAGGCACCACGATCCATGTTTCATGTATGGGGATCGTTCTATGTGTTGGGGACACACATACAAGAACTTTCACATATACTAATAAGACGTATGTCTGGCCGTCGTGGGCTCTTGGGCTATTACGGAACACTTTTTTTTTAATTTTTTTTACGAGGGGATAGGTTTCAGTACCGAAACGTCCGCCTTTATGAAGGGGTGCGGACGAATACTGTGGGACTGGACGAATCCGACCCCCCAAAACCCCTTGGGGTTCCTCCAAAAACCACGAAAGACGTCTTCGTGCGGGTTGGTATTTGCATTCGACCGTACTCCGACTGAGGTCTCCAGTGAAGGAGCCGCCGAAGTTGGGCGCGGGGACCACTCCACGGATCACTAGCCTCCTGGGGACTTCGGATGACTACGGAATCCAAACTGAAGACAGTGCCAGTGTTAAAAAAAAAAAAGGAAAAAAAGGGGAAGGGGAAAAAAAAATTGTCGAATTACGACAAAAAGTGAACTGTGAAATTAAACAATCAATAATTAAACAAAACCTGGACTATAACAAATAGTGAACTTTGAAAATAGTGTTAAAATAAGATTTCATATAATTGTATATGCAGTGTAAGAATTCATAATGTGTATTGTTACAAAAGTGGAAATTAAATAAATATTATAATATTAAAGTAAATTAAAAAAAGTACGGACGAATATGTCTGTGGAAAAATGTATTTAAATATAAAAAAAAAAAAACTGAAGACAGTGCCAACATGGCGGCAGTTGAGTTTTTGTTTAATATCCACGGTCCGCGGCCGCTGACTGACTGGCAATAAACAATCAAATTAATTATCTGCGAACGGCAGACGGCAAAAAGCGTTCCGCTCAATTTACCAATTACATAGCACCGGTTGAGCAACGCCATTGGCAGGAAAATTACTTCACGCTTCTTTCA